TGTTGCGCTTTCCTAAAAATCTTTAAGATTCACATTTCATGTGCACCTTGTCATTTTCCAGTGAAACTGAACACACTTTACTAAACTTACTTTCAATAAACACAGCTTTAAAAACATATTAATCACAAATCTGAGTATTTATTACCACTTACCACTCCTCTGCAGTTGGCCCCTTGAATCAAAGACAGAATCCCATAAGCTCCAGACACATAGTTGAATGTCTCTGAGTGACAGTCATTGAGATCTTGCAAAAATTGCTGAAGTTTGGGTATTTCTGTTAAAAGGAATTTGAATGCTGAAATACATGACTGTGCATACTTTGATTTAAATCCAATCGTTCACTCTTGTTTCAGTTAAAAAAACAAAAACAGTTTTTTTAACTTCTTAGCTACAATATGGTCATTTAAGGAGACTTTACCTACCAGTTTCATCTGCATTTAAGCGTTTCTTTTTTAGAAACTCTTTGGAGCTCACTGTGAAGACTTTGAAATGGTCAACAGTGAAGTGTTTCTGGGGAAAATGGATTTCATTTGAACACAATCTTAACATTAAAAAGAGTTGTTGTGTTAGCTTTCTTCAGCTTGCTCACCTTAATTTTGTGTAGCCTGCTGAATTCTTTCCTCATTTCATCTTTGACTTGCATGTTTCTTTTAACTATAAGGTCCCAGAGTTGAGCTGCTGAACTAGAAGAAAAGATATTTGCACATATAGTTGGACAGTAAGGGGGAGTCTCTAACTAGACCCTTTCTAAGTAACCAATAAGTGCACCCTTACTGGGTACATAACAGCTAGGTACTGCTGATAAAATGCACTTGATTAATTAATTAACGAGTGAGCACCGCTTTAAAAGCAGACGTTGTTGTTGAGACAATCCTATAAGTGGCCATCTTAGAAAATTCACCTCAAGGTCAGACTGAAATTCTCAGTGAAATTCGGGGAAATACAAAAAACAATCAAGAGCTACATGTCAAGCTCTACAGGCTTCAGTTAGCATTTTAAATGTTAAAGTTCACAATAATATGGTTAGAACAAAGACTAAACAAGTATGGCTTGTTTGAAGAGTTATAAGGGGAAAACCTCACTTCTCTGGAAAGAAGGTGGCACCATGAGGATTGCAAAATGGGGCTCATTTTACAGCCACTGGAACTGGTCACTGGTAGGTTGAAGTTATTAAGTTGACCTTGAACTTCTATGGTATACTGAAGTATTCTAGAGCCTGTTGTGGGGCATCTGTCTGACACCTAAAGCTTTTCCAGAATTGGGTGTGCAGCTATACACATTTTGTGTCACAATGTACTTACTGATCATCTGAATCTTCAATGTGATCTGACTTAGTGCAGATAAATAGGATTTGTCGACACCCGCCACCATTTCCAATATAGCTGCTGGCACTTCTCCCAGATCTCCCAGGCTTCTTTTTCTGCAATTACTCTATTAATCTCAGTTACAATCCACACAGTAGAACAATTTTAAACAATCTGAAAGAATATTATAATTCAACTGTAAGTAGCCAATTGTCAAAGCTTCATATTTAAAAATAGACAGCAGTGAATATGTGAATAAATCACTTGTTTCCACATTTCATCTCTGCTCTTGTTACGGTCACCATTTCCAGGAAGGTCCACAAGTGTGACATGCTGGAGAAAATCATTGTTTGGCACCCTGACAGTCACATTTCACTAGAGGCCAGTACCACTTCTTTACATCTTTACCATCTCCCTGTTTACAGTCACTTCTTGTGTATTTGACACATCTTGCAGAGAGTTCTTTAGCCTGCAATAATTTAAAAAAAGTAAGACATCATTACTCTTAGCACTACAAGTGTTTTACAAGTTAAACCATTGGAGCAGCAGAAAATATGACAGAAAAGCACATTTTTTAAAAAACAGTGCACACAGAAGAAAAATAAATATTTCATTTATTTTTAAGATATTTACTTACTTGCATGTTTTTCCTGTTTTTAAAGCAAACGTGAACTCCTTACAAACCCAACCAGCTTTGATGTTAGGAAGACCCCAAACAGCAGCCTTGTAAAAATCTCTGGTTTTAATACCAGATCAGTGCATCACATTGGGAACACAAATGGGATTGTGGGCCTAATTTATTTCACACATTCACTGTGTTGCAAATTGTAAAATCATAACCCAGAATCAGACTATTGAAGTCTGGGTTCTTGCACCTTGTCCTCTTCTCCAAAGTTAAATTCAACTTAAATAATGCACATTGCAAGTGCAGATTTGCATTTGTTCAGAGTAGTTTTGGTGTAATTTAACCCTTAGATACTGGTCAGATCAAATTTGACCTGTTGTGACTGTCACGGTTTGCCAGGGCAAGCCGTGGGGAATGTTGGAGAAAGGACCCAAACGCTGGACTTAGTGCAATGAACAGTGCATTTATTTACAGTGGGGGTAAATATACACCACACAATAAGTCTCCCGAGTGCTCCCTCAACTCCTGTGTCGTGCCTTCTCCCAAGTGCTGTTATTCCGTGCTCTCTGCTCCTGTGCCTACGCACACCCCGTGCGTCCTGCAGTCCCGTGTTCCGCTCTCCTGAGGAAAAACCAACAGATGCAGCCGTTATGGCACCACTCCAGCAGGCATACACTTAACAGAACTTGCGACACTGACATGGAGTCTAACTCAACAATCCTGCGCCGGAGGAAGCTCCATTGCTCTGTTAAGTAGCTCCCCCGACGAGCCTGATCAGAAGCAGGTGTGTGGGAACCTAGGCGTGACCAGCAGCTGGCAGGGCCACACCCATCAGGCCTGCAGGTGGCTGTCCTTCATCCTCCAGCCACACCCGCAGACACACACGTACACTCACCAGCATGGAACACAAGAGCACAGTGCAGCAAACATACACCCAATAATAATAATAATAATAATAATAATAATAATAATAATAATAATAAAGGTTCACACACAGATGCTATCTCAGAAAAAAAATATAGAAATTTAGTAGCTGAAGAGTTACATTTTTACCTCAAATTTATGGATACCATAAACAGCAAATAAAAGTAGCTGTACTATACAGAATAAAAGTCTGGCAGAAGTAAATTGAATCCAAGTGAGACTAACTGTGATCCACACTAAAAGCATTGGAATAATTCATTTTCTGTTTTAACCTGTCTGTCAGCAATACAACTTTAAACTAACTAATAAAGTAAGTAATAGTAAAAACATCTTGAGTCTTGCAAATTAAATACGGAATGAATGTCCATGTTACCATGATTATTTATGATTCTAGAATCATTTGCTGGCAAACAAACAAACATGGCTTTCTAACATGGCTACACAGACACAACACAGAATATGGAAACGTAATACTCACTCCAGGAAAGCACTGAGCTTGTCTTTTTCGTGTAGTTTGGCATGGACGAATTTCATTATGTTTTTTACATCAGACAGCACGATTGCTTCTGTAAGCAAAGAAGTAAACAACTATTTAGCAAGAGCTATAAACCTATGGATCCATCCATCTTCTACTGCTAATCCAAGTCCGAATTTGACGCAAAAGACTTTTCTCACAGGAACAAATATCCTGGTGAATTCCAAAAAACACATATAGATTGGTTTGGAAAACTCCCATGCAACCTAGAATATCTTTGGCGGCATACAGTGCTGGTACAGTGTTTTGTGATCATTACAATGGCTGTATTTTTATTCCTGAGTCAAAAGGTTTATTTCATAGCTGGACTGTGCCTAGCATTACACTGGCAAAGACCTTTCGGCGGTAGTCCACCACCTTGGTCTGTCAGTCTAACTGCACTGTCCCACCTCCATGTGACATTGTAGAAGCATATCAACCAAAACAGCCGGACCACATACAGATCCCTGAGAAAAATAGAGAATATCATCCACCCCAGTTGTCTCAGTGACCTTACACAAAGTAATCTCTCTAATTCTCACATTCGATCAGTCTTGCTTCATGGACTCATTGAAAACCCCCACTTTTTGGTTAAGCTACTGTCAGATCTGGAAGAAGTGGTGAAAAGACGAATCTGAAAAGCTAAGAGAGAAAGAGAAAAAAAATCCACTTACAATAAATGCAACAAAATATGTCAAGGTAACTGACACCAACACCAACAAGTAACAAGCCCTCACACTCACAGGAGGCTGATGTTGCTAGCATCCACCATAGAGAAGTAGAGGGACAGCAGTTCCCAAAAGAGTGAAAAAGGAATGGAGAAAGGTGAAATTACCATGGTAAGAAAATAGATGAAAGGACATAATTTGGGAGAGATTCAAGGATTACGGTAAAATGAATGGCTGCTTTGACGATATGCCACACCTAATCTCTAAAGTGTGGCTTTTAATTGTCACATGCTACATTGCAGTGCAACTAAGATATGCTAACCAAACAACAGCTTTACCAGTCTGATTAAACCTGTTTAGACTAACATCTAGACTAATTGTAAAACAACAAGTAGCTCATTGTTCCAGCATCCAAGAGAAGTAACTGCTACCACAACTCAAGACTGATGCTGTATAATGCAAATGCCATGGCAACGGTGGGACAGGTCACATCAGGTCAGAGGGGATTTTATGATCACCAGATCTCACAGAGCTCCAAGAACAACTGGTGTATTGAAGGGATTGAGTACAAGAGCAGCTGAGCTTAAAGAAAAGATTGTGGCAAAGCTGGAAACCTGGATCCTCCATGGTTGATTACCAAGAGTATGAGATGTATCCTCTGACAGTCTACTAGAAGAAGTGAATGCAGCATTATGGATAATCTTTACTATGACCATCACTGAAACCAACCCGTTGATCTACACCACAGAAGCAGTGATCTTTGGGATGCTTGGCTACAGGATAAAAAAGGCCACAAGAAGCAGTATTCTCCATGAAAAAGGAGACTAGAGGCCAATATCAAGGCAGCAAGGATGGAAGTTAGCCAATTATAAGAGCTCCAGAAAGGTGTGATGAAGAAAGGGATGCTTAAGAAGTACAGCAAGCTACCCATGCCTGAAGCAAAGACTCATAGCCTTCACTAGCCACCTGAAGAGGTACACCAGAAAGATAGAGGCCAGGAGAACAAGCCAGATGCTCTTTAGTAAACCATACAAGGTGTACGCTAAGTAGCACTGGAAGAATATGAGAACAGCAGCCCCACCAAGCCTGGAGATGGAGCAAAAAGACTGGCTGTAGTGATAGATGTAACTATATCAAGATATGATATCATTAGGAAGAAGTAAAATGAGAAGTTTGAGAAATTCCAAGGGCTAAGAGAAGAACTTTAGAAGATGTGAAGGGTGAAAGCAGATGCTCTTCAGTAAACCTTCTAAGGTGTACGCTAAGTGGCACGGGAAGAATATAAGAACAGCAGCCCCACTAAGCCTGGAAATGGAGCAATGCTAGAAGAGCAAATGGAAGAAGGACAACATAACAATAATGCTCAGTGGCTAGTGGAGCTAAGAGCAGACCACAGCAATCTCCCTAAACTGGCCTCAATAAACATCACAGGGGCCTCAAGGACCAATAGAGGCAAA